CTCAACACCCTCTTTAATTCGAACTAAGTGGTATGCATTTCTGAGATCCAATTTGGTAAAAATAGTGGCAGAATGTAACTGTTCGTGAATGGAGTCGATGAGAGGGAGAGGGTACTTATTTTTAACAGTAATATTATTGAGACCTCGGTAATCAATACATGGACGGAGGGTTCCATCCTTGTTGGAAACAAAAAAAGAAACCTGCTCCCATAGGAGAGGTAGAAGGGTGAATGATGCCAGAAGCAAGGGACTCCTCAATATATTTCCTCATGGACTCTCTTTCAGGTCCGGAGAGGTTGTACAACCGACTGGAAGGTAAAGGAGACCCAGGAAGCAGGTCGACTGCACAATCATAGGGGCGATGAGGAGGAAGTGAGAGAGCTCGTTGTTTACTGAACACTGGGGCAATGTCGTGATAAACGGGGGGGAATTACAGAAATATCAGTCACCTCGTGAGGAGTACTTTCTGGGGTATGATTGGTGATGGCAGAGCGTAAACAATGTTTCAAACTGTCATTTTTCCATCTTTCAATTCTTCCCAGCTTCCAATTGAAATGTGGGTTATGTTTTTGGAGCCATGGGTAACCCAAAATTAACTGAGTGTCAGGAGATTCGAATATGAAAAAAATCTATTAACTCATGATGATTGCCAGAAGTTATCAGATGTAATTGAGTTGTTTTACAATGGGTCTGTGTCAAGGTCTTGCCTGTAACACCAGTAATGGGAATGGAAGGAATCTCTAGGGTGGGCAAGGACAGTTTCTTGACAAGATTAAAACTGATTAGATTTTGTTCTGCACCAGAATCAATAAGAGCGGACACAGGGAGGCGATCGTGATTTATTTGAATAATTGTAGGAAGCATTAATCTACGTGTGGGAGAGAATGCTGAAGTGCCCACCAATAACTCTCTCTTTACTGGCAGGCGTTCTCTTTTCCCCGAAAAGGATAGTTCAATAAGAAATGGCCGGACCTGCCACAGTATATACATAGTCTTGAGTCCATGCATCTCTGTCTCTCTTCGGGAGTTAAATGAGTTCGTCCAATCTGCATTGGTTCAGACTCTGGCAGAATGGGTAACTTTTTGACAGGAGATGTAGGCGAGTGAAGTGGGCCGGAAACGAGCTGATCTTGGTTATTGTAGTTCGTAGGAGAGTGTTTAGCGGTGCGGCGCTCACCTGGTGACGTAAAACCGGAAGTGGAGTGATTATGGGTAGTGTAGTCCCGCTCACTCCTACGTTCCCGGAAGCGTTCGTCAATGGAGATTGCTAACTCTATTAGCTCATCAAACCCCTCCGGCTCATCTCTTGTGGTGATTTGGTCTTTGATGGGGTCAGAAAGAGAATTCAGGAAGGTACCTTGTAGCGCAGTGTCGTTCCATCCTGTTTGGGCGGCGATGATGCGGAAGTCGAGAGCGTACTCCGCCACTGGATGCCGGTTCTGACGTAAACCAAGGAGTCATTTTACGGCGTTGGGCTTCTGCAGAGGACGGTCAAAAATACGGCGAAACTCTTTTAACAAGGTATCAAAAGATAAAAAATCCAAGTCATGAAATTGAAAAAAGGAATTTATCCACCGGAGTGCATCACCCTTCAGCTGGTTGGTAAAATAAGTGATTTTAGTGATGTCTGTGGAGTATAATTGGGGTGCTCCCTTGAAGGCGAGCTTAATTTGCAGAAGAAAACCTCCACACATACTAGGGTCTCCGGAGAAATATTCTGAGGGTTTTGTGATTACCTGTTGGGTAGTGGTAAGGTCTTTGAGTTCCGTTCTGGGAGAATTGGACTCGGGAGGAGTTGTAGGAGCTGAAGGAGAAGAAGAAGGCGAGAGTTGCTGATTTAGAGAAAAAACCATACCTCCCAATTCTCTCATGTTGGTCTGAACTTCATGTTGTTGTTTTAAAACTTGTCGAAGAATCAGTTCGAGTTGGTCGATACGTTCCATCTGGGAAGAAGAGGTAGCTTGTTCAGTTCTGGTCTCGTTCTGGGCCTGTTTTGGCTGGAGCATTTTTGTCATAACGCGGGGAACCCAGATTTGTACGAGACCAGAAAGGACAAAATACGATTATAAAAAGATAAGTGTTTATTATATACAGTGAATTATTTACAAGTGGTCCTCTCCAAGGAAGATCCTGGGGAAAAGAGTTTGTTCAGAGAAGGTCCACTGGCAGGATTGTACGTACAGAATTAATGCTAGTTTTTCTCTTACAGATGGTAGCGTCGATGTTAAGCATGGGTGGACAGGTGAATTGGCGTATGGCTGGAAGGCGAGGCACAGGGAGCAGGAACCAGAGACAACAGGGATTCCAGGACAGGACAGGACTCGAGGAAGCAGGATGACTGCGGGCACAAAAATAGAAGGTAAGTAACACTTTGTCAATCACAATGAACTACAGGCCAAAAGCAATAATACCAAAAAGGGTACAATGCTCCAGCGTCGAGTCACACTGGACTGCAGCCTTAAATAGTAGAGGATCCTCTTAGGTGGATGGATGATAGCTGGTGGTAATCAGCGGCCAACTTGGAGAAGGAGCTGCAGGCAGTGAAACTCTTACACCATCAGTTATCTCGTCACATGGCATTAATTTAACTCGAAAAAGAAAGAACCCGTTGTAAATAATTAATTAGTAGTGAAGGTACAGCAAAGCTGTCCGTTGACATACTACATCCCAACTTTTTGGGATTTGTTGACGCCATGAAATTTGGAAACAACAGATTTTTCCCTTAAAATGATACATTCGCTCAGTTTAAACTTTTGATCTGTGATTTGTGTTCTATTCTGAATAAAATATTAGATGTTGGCACCTCCACATCATTGCATTCAGTTTTTATTCACAATTTGTTTAGTGTCCCAACTTTTTTGGAATCCGGTTTGTAGGTTCATGACAAAAACCAATGCAGACATGTTCCTGTTTTTAGTATTTCACATCGCGTTACAGTGTAGCTGTTTTGTTTCTTTTTTTAATATAATTTTTTTCAATTTATATGCTTTCTTTTATGATTGTCTACTGTTATCATTCTTTGTTATAAACAGGTCTCTCTTGTAAATGAGACTAACCTGCCCTGTACAAGGTTGAATGAAAAAGCAGCAAATGAGGAGCTGTGCTTGTATTCAGTGAGGGAGGAGGGGCCGTGTGAAGTTGGTGGCGCAAACGGGCAGAAAAAGAAGAACTACACGTCTTTTCAAGTCTTACAGTAAGAGGTAGCGCAACATTAATAAAGTAGTGGCTTATTATATTGCTAAAGACACGGTCCTTAGCGGCTAATAAGACGGCTAACTTTAGCCGTCTTGTTCCACAGTTGAGACTGGGACCGTGTCTTTAGCGATATGACATGCTGCTGATTTATTAACGTCGTGTTACCTCTCACTTTTCCTCTCATAAGGCACAGAGCGGCTAAATTCATTCATTCATTCAACCTGTATGTGAATGTGAATGTTTCTGTAAAGTGCCCTGAGACAACTTTGTTGTGATTTGGCGCAATATAAATAAACTGAATTGAACCTTTATTTAAACAGATAAGTCACACTGAGCCTCGAAGACTCATTTACAAGTGAAACCTGTTTGGACAGACAAAAAAGTGGAGAAAAACAACACGTAGGGTTTGGAGACTAAAAAAATTCCTAACGCTTTTAACTTCTGAAGGTCAACAGCGTGATAATGAAAAAAAATCTTGCACACTAGCACATAATGACGCCGACATTACGGGGGGGGGGGGGACGCAAGGGCGGTGAGTAGTCAGAGACAACACACAGAGTCACTGCAGAGTCCAGATAAAATTACTCAGTTCAAATAGTTCCCTCTGGAGAGATCTGTACACGCTCGGGGGGGGGGGGGGGGGGGGGGGGACGAACAAAGACTAAATCCAAAGATTCCTGAAATGATGACAGAATGTTTATTCAGCTGGGCCCCTCTGAAAAGTCCATGGATATTCCTCGGAAGGATGGGAGGGAGGGGCTGAGCATCAGGTTTACAAAACTTTCCAGACGAGTGAGATACATCTACCTCGAGTCTGTGTCTGTCCACTTGGTTCCAAAACGTCCAAATTAAATGACCATACCAATGGAACATGCCTGAGAATAATCCCCGAGACCTGATCCATTCTGCCAAAAGTCTGGGTGCTTGAGACACGAACCAAGCCATCATATAAGGCCTGATCAGGTCCAGAATTGCTGCCGACTACTTCCTTGTTTGTTGACAGACCAGGAACCAATCAAATCCAAAATGTTATCAATTGTTTTAAGGGACCAACTGGCCAAATCCAAGTCCATAGTTATAATCGGCTTGCCTAAAGATGGCCTTTTAAGTCCAGTCAGGGAGCCGAATTCAGATAAAAATGGCTTTGACACATGGTTTGTCTCAGGGAAGGAGGCTGAAATCTGTCTGAGCTGCAGCTTCACACATGTGGAGCAGCGAACTCTGCCAGAAGCCATAGAAATAGCAACAACTGATGTAACAGCACTATAAGTGGAGTATGAAGATACTCCACTTATACTGTTTTAAATTGTGAAAAAAAAAATTTGTGACAACCTTTTGTTGGTACTTGTTTTTGGCATTGTCTACAGAAAACATTTTTCTGTTGCTCATCTGACAATTTAAATCCAAACCATTTCCAAATAACAGCCATTGTTTTTCTTTTTGCTCAGCAGTTCATCAATATCCTGTCAGTGTTCAATTGCTGCTAAACTCCTGTCCGCCTGGAGAAGCAGGAAGCAAGAGGGAGCATGCGAGTGATGGGGGGGTGTGAGGGAGAAGGAGGGGCCGTGTGCAGATGAGCATAGACAGGAGAAAAAGAACTACAGGTACACAGATTTTCAAGTCTCATAATACTCTATGGTTGCGATCGAGTCATTTTAACCATCATCAATTGAAAAGCTTGCAATACACTGAGTATATTCAATATACTGCCCAGCCCTACTTTGGATCGAAGCTAATGATTACATCTTTTGAGCCCTTAGTTTGTATGTTTATGGCTGCGTTTAGCAAATGTGAGACAAACATACCGGTGTGGGTGCTCTCCATAGTGGTTTCTGACTGTTCTGTGCAGGAGACATCAGCTTCTGTTCGGGGAATATAGAAAAGCTCTTCACTGCCATGAGGTTTGTAAGGAAGCAGTACAGGAGCTGTAGAAAAAAAAGATGTTTTATAAACCCACTTTTATTGGCACACATTAAGATGAAAGAAAACAATTACCTTCTAGTTTTTTTTCATATTAAAAAAATAAAACTGATAAACACATACATGCACACACAGGATTCCAAAAGCGTTCAATACAATATTGCTAAACATCTGGCTGGTATTTTAGCTCCTCTTGTTGGAAACACACTTCATCACATAAAGAACTCCATTGATTTTGCTAACAAAGTTCAACATTTGAAACTAACCCCAGGAGAAACCCTTGTATCTTATGATGTGACTTCTATTTTCAATTGCATACCCATCTCTGAAGCAGTAGAAACCGTCAGAAAACAACTTCTACAAGACAATGACTTAATCAATAGGACCAACTTCACCCCAGACCAGATCTGCACCGTTAGATCTCTGCCTCTCCACCACTTATTTTAAGTTCAATGACCGTTTTTACAGACAGAAACACGGCTGTGCCATGGGATCTCCAGTGTCACCCATTGTTGCCAATCTCTACATGGAGGAAGTGGAACAGAGAGCCCTAAACTCCTTTGAGGGAACAACACCAAGCTATTGATTCAGATATGTGGATGATACCTGGGTCAAAATCCAAGCCAAGGAAATAGAAATGTTCACCAGGCACATCAACTCGGTCGATAACAACATCAAGTTCAACAGAGAGGATGCAAACGACAACAAGCTGCCTTTTTTGGACTGTTTGATTCAGATGGAAAGAGAGGACAGCCTCAACATTGAAGTTTACAGAAAACCAACCCACACAGACCAGTATCTTCTGTTTGACTCCCATCATCCACTGGAACACAAACTCTCTGTCATCAGAACTTTACAGCATCGGGCCGAACGCATCCCCACAAAGACAGAAGGGAAGGAAAAGAAACAGAAACACATCCAAGAAGCTTTCCAAACATGTGGATATCCTAACTGGGCTTTTGTCAAATCAGTGAGGAAATCTACAAAACACACTAATAAACAGAAAAAGGAGAACTACAGACGTAAAAACATTGTCATCCCTTATGTTGCTGGAGTATCAGAGAAATTCAGAAGGATTTTCAACAAGCACAACATCCCAGTACATTTCAAACCCAGCAGGACTATCACACAAGGCTGGGTTAACCATGGACCCATGATCTCTAAGGGGCCCAGGGCAGTGAGGGCACAAGCAAAATATCTGGTTATCTCCTGCTTTACTTGGAGCCCTGCACTGAAAAAAACTGCTGCGCTTCCGCTGCATTTGGGCCGCCCCGCCTCCTCCTAGCGCAGCTGTTGCAGCTGCTTTTTTTTTTTTTCAATCGGATCCTCAACTGTGCGACCTGTCAATCAACTCAGAAGGCGTGTCAGTAACTGACCAATCGACAACCTCAATTTGTCCCAAAGATAAACCTTCGATTACCTGCTGACAAGCTCATCATGTTTTTTTTCTTGAGAAACATTGTTTTAATTAAAACTATAAGTTTGTATCTGTTGTGAGATGATTTTAGCAGGTTTGCAGATTTTTAATCTACTTAATGAAGAATAGTATGACTTAAAATCGTTCATTAAACAGGAAGGAGGGCTTATTATCCCTCCTCTAATTTCAGTGAATGTGGTACTTTGCTATAAGTACGACTATATTTATGGCATCAGATAAAGTTGAGCTTCAATTATCCACATAAAGTAAAATGGCATCAGCATGAAAAGAAGGAATGTTAAGTATGAGATTAATCCAGTTTCTGATGTCTGACCAAACACTTTGTATTGACATTTTAAAAAAATTGCTCGAGGGATTCATCTTCTGATTTACAAAAACACAAATCAACATCAAATTTAAATCTTCTTTGCAGAAACATGGCTACAGGATATATCTTATTTATTATTTTAAAATGATTCTCCTTCACTTTAGGAGATTTAGGCCATTTGACAAATTTAGAATGAGCAGAAGTCATTATGGTTTTATGATTTATACTGGGAGGTTTCTTGAAGGAATCTTTGTTATAAACAATAAATCCTTTGTCGCAAACATTCATTGATAATTGTACTGCATTTGAAGTCAACTAAGTTACAGGCATTTAATTTTAATTTAGGCATCAAATCCTCACCTTTGAATATATAATATTTTTAATTCATTGAATCAGCTGTTGGTCAGGCTACTTCTTGTTGTGCCATTAACTCTAAAATAGTTATTGAATCAAGTGTATACTTCCATCCATCTGCGGGGGTAGCAGCCTAAGTAGGGAGGCCCAGACTTCCCTCTCCCCAGCCACTTGGGCCAGCTCCTCCAGGGGAATCCCAAGGCATTCCAAGTGTTTGCTTTCAGGTAAAACTAGATGTTAAACAACCATTAAAATACACCAGAATGCAGGAAATGGCATCTACTTTATTCAAAAACTTAATTCGGTCTTGATGATTTGTGGAGTTTTATATATAAAAATACACTTGATAGTTCGAATTTTAAGTACATCTACTGTATATTGTGGTAATTTATTCTGTATTTTGCCAGATTATGGTGATACTGGGATCGTGATGATGGGGCCCTTGCAGATTGTTGCCCAGGGTACAGTGAAGTGTTAATCTGGCCAAGCTCTCAGACAGAGGCTGGTCCACCCTAATGACAAAACACTCATACACAAACAAAGTGGTGTAGTATATGCGGTCCAGTGCAGGGAGGACTGTCTAGACCTCTACATTGGGGAAACTAAACAGCCTCTTCACAGACGCATGGCTCAACACAGGAGAGCCAGCTCTTCAGGACAAAACTCAGTTGTTCACCTCCACCTCACAGATAAGGGACACTCTTTTGAGGACCAAAATGTGCACATTTTGGACCGAGAACACAGATGGTTTGAGAGGGGGGTGAAGGAAGCAATTTATGTAAAAAGAGAAAAAATGTCTCTTAACAGAGGAGGAGGCCTCAGATTTCCACTTTCAAAAACATACAATGCAACTTTAAGACTGATTCCCAGCCAGTTTTCACACCTGATGGGAACAGAGGGGCCTCATCTGTGAATTAGAGTAACAAAGACCTTAATAAACCCCTACTGTTATGGTGTTTAGGTGTGAATTGCCAATCTACATATGTGTGTGTCTTATCTCACTCAGCCTTATAACCTGAAACCCTCACTCACTGCTCTTTGAATTGAGAAAGCTCCTCGGATGAGGAGCGAAACGTCTTCTGTTACAAATAAAGTCCAGTTGTTTTTGTTTTGAACGCTTTTTGAATTCATCATGTCCTGGATGACTGAGAATCTTCACCAGCATATGCAAACACAGGCAAAACATTATCACCCTCCGTCTTAGAATTCAGTTTATGTAAGTAGATTCCAGTAAAAGCTGACCTGATGTTTCAGCAGTTGGACTTCCTGGTACTGCTTCAGTTTTATGCTGTGATATGGACTGTGTGGATACTGCTGTCACCTGTCTTACAGGTTTAAACAGATTGAAGGTGTCAGATCTTTCAGGTGCCTGCTGTCTTACAGGTTCTCTGCTGTCACAGCACTCTGGTGCACTGGATGAACCAACGCCTTCATCTGGGCTGCTGGCAGCTGAAGATGAGTCTTTGGGAATAACAAAGAGTTGCTGAGGCAGCCCTGAAGCCACATCACATGGAATAGAGTGGGCAGTGGATGAAGGGGTGTGATCGGTCACTTTTGGGGACAATTTGAGATGGAGGTGTGAGATGTAATCTGGCCTTGCAGTGGATCCAAAACATGCAGCCTGACTTGGTTTATGATCAACACCCAAAACAGAGCTGGGACAAATGCAGAACTCCTCATAGGAACTGAAGAGCTGTGCACGGTCATGTCTGATAGTTGCTGGTACATCTGTTTGATCTAAACCTTGTTTGAGTGGGGGAAACTCTTCATATTGACCCCCCAGAGTGTCCTGCCTCCACAGTTTTTTTAAAGCTGACTGAGACATCACACTTTGACGTCTGTTATAGAAACCCTTACTTGCTTCATAAACAGATGGTTCTCCATTTGTTGGCTGTGGTACAGCAACCGCTTCACCTTCGTGCAGATGAGGTGGAACTGGCTGGTCAGTAATAATGGGTCTGCCTGTTCCTATGGAGAGCTCTGATAGGTACAGTGGGTGTGGGGCTGGGCTGAGGGGAGGGGCAGGGGTGGTGGAAGGTGAGGAGGAAGTAGAGCGCCTGCGAGTGGATATAGTGATGGACGTAAAAGTCTGACATTGTTTTCTAGAGAGGTTTACACCTTCTCTGGCAGCAATCTCACACACCCGGGCTTCTAAATGTGTGTGAGGGATGCACTTTAAATGTGTGTTAGACTCTGGGTGCTCCATACTGAGGCAGTGCAGCATGTCCTCATCACTGAGAGTGGAAAATGTCTTCCCTGAAGGAGGATTGAGCTCTTTATTGACTTGAAGACTGAAAGATGCACTGCTCTCTGTATCTGTACTCCCTTGGCTCTACAAGGAGAAAAAACAGCTTTGTCAGTAGACTTGAAAAAGCTATATATTTGTTTTATCCTGAATGGCAATTAAAAAACAAAAAGATCCATTTAACACTTAAAATTAACTTAGAACATCTCATTTTGTAACACTGCAACACACCAGTTACCTTTATAATAAGATTTACACTGTCCAGAGAGGGTGGGCTAACATCAAAATGATAAATATAAAAACATTTAAACTTTCACAAAATTGAACATAAACTCATAAAAAAAAATCTATTTTACAATGGTTTGTATAACTTGTTTTGTCACTTGTAATGACAATGAGGTCTTTTTGAGAGGTTACCTTAATGTTTTTTTTTAACAGCAGCTCCTTCTTGATCTCTTCAATGCACTTTCGATCTTCTATATTCAGCTCCTGTAGTTCACACTGCTGTCCCAATATATATAACTTGATCCACTCTGAAAACACCATGTTTAAGATTAGTCTGAAACACCAAAAACATTAGCTCTTAATGATTCATGGAGTGAACAGTCCAAACCAAAGGTCTGTCACTTCTGAGCTGAACAATGGTGTGTAAGATAGAAGCTGTGGCTCCTGGTGAAAAAAATGAATAGAAAATCATTGTGATAAGTCTCCCATAAGATAGAATGAGGATGATATGAGGATGATGTTTCAAATAAAGGTCTAGCATTCCTTTAAGAATTAAAGCTGCAAGCAGCATTGAAGGCCCTCGCAGCAAAGCGCCACGCTGGCCTTACGGCTACCCCGGGAGCTCCAGCTACTAATCCTTGTGGCGACCGCATGAACTCTAGCTACGCCTCCCAGTCGCAATCGTGAATGCTCTCGTGCCATTTAGAAGTGCTCACTGATCATGCACCCAAAATCTTGTGCAGAGCAGAAGATGTATCACTGAGATTTAGATATTGGAATAATCTAGGGGGCGCACTTGAGTCAAATGTTAAAGAATATACCAATGATGACTCACAAATTATCTGGTTCAGATTGGATGATGTATCACTGAGATATAACTGTTGGAATAATCTAGGGGGCGCACTTTGGGTGGGTGTGGCTGAGTGGTTAACGTACCATACCAATTTATTTATATAGCACTTAAAACGGCAACAAGGCCAACCAAAGTGCTGTACAAAAGAAACAAACATGCACAGCAGACAGGAAAACATAAAATAGAAATACAGATATAAATAGCAGCAGAAGCTAACTAAAATGGCCAACAGAGTAGAGAACAGACAGGACCAAAACAAATCACACCGTGTTAAAGGCAAGAGAATAGAAGTGGGTCTTCAAGCGAGACTTAAAGACTGAGAGTGTGGGAGCCTGCCGGACACTCAGTGGCAACTCATTCCACAGTCGTGGACTTGCGACAGAGAAAGCCCTGTCACCTCTGAGCTTACGACGGGTTTCTGGGACTGAGAGAAGCATCTGGTCTGCTGACCTCAGAGAGCGCGGTGGGACATATGGCTGCAGAAGATCAGTGAGATAGGATGGGGCGGAACTGTTCAGTGATTTAAAAATATACATGAGAATTTTGAAATGGATCCGAAGGTGAATGGGTAGCCAGTGCAGGGAGGCCAAAACTGGCGTGATGTGCTCTCTATAGCCTGTACCAGTTAAAAATCGGGCTGCAGCATTTTGGACCAGTTGTAGACGAGCAATGGAGGACTGACTGATTCCAAACAGAAGTGAATTGCAGTAATCAAGCCTAGATGTTATGAAGGCGTGGATCACTGTCTCAAGGTTCTTTTTGGAGAGTATAGGCTTCAGCTTAGACAGCCGTCTCAGCTGAAAAAAACAGGATTTGACCATCATGTTTACGTGACTGTTGAGTTTTAAGGACGGGTCCATTATCACCCCCAGATTAGTGACCTTTTGTTTCTCTAGCGGGGCTAGAGAGAAAAGGTCAATGTCATGGTTCATGAGTGAGCCACTGGGATGGAACAGCACGACCTCAGACTTCTTCTCATTGAAGCTTAAGAAGTTTAAAGCCATCCAGTCCCGGATGTCAGCCAGGCAATCAAGAAGAGGCTGAATAGAGCGTGTGCCTCTGTGCCTCAGGGGGAAGTAAATTTGGCAAACATCGGCGTAGAAATGAAAGGGTATGTCGTGTTTGCGGAAGATAGCACCTAGTGGCAGCAGGTATAAAGAAAAGAGAAGGGGACCGAGGATGGACCCCTGCGGTACCCCCCACTGGAGCGCTGTCGATGCCAAACTAAAATCTTTGATATTGACACAGAAGGTTCTGTCAGAGAGGTAGGACCCAAACCATTTAAGGGCTGACCCTGTGATGCCCACCCACTGCTCCAGTCTAGAAATGAGGATGTTGTGGTCGATGGAGTCAAAAGCAGATGTAAGGTCCAATAGGACAAGCAGCACCGAATCACCTGCGTCTGTGGATATGAAAATGTCATTAAAAACCTTCAGTAGAGCAGTTTCAGTGCAATGGAGAGATTTGAAGCCAGATTGGAATAACTCAAGGATAGCGTGATCCCCCAAAAACTGTTTCAACTGAGACTCCACAATTTTTTCCAGTAGTTTAGAGGTGAATGGGAGTCTGGAGACAGGCCGGAAGTTGGACATGACTGAGGGGTCAAGGTTAGGTTTTTTTCAGGAGGGGCTGGACAGCAGCATGTTTAAAAGTCTTTGGCACCACACCTGAGGATAAACTGCTATTCAGAATACCGAGGATAAAAGGACCCAGGGTAGGAAAAACTTCCTTTAGCAGTCGAGGGGGGACCACATCAAAGGGGGAACCAGATGGCTTCATGCTGCACATTACCTGCTCCAGAGAAAACAGAGAGATGGGCTCAAAGTGGTCAAACACAGCCACGCACTGAGATGGGATGGACAGATCATGAGCTGGTGGAGAAATGAGTGCCCGGGTGTTTGCCAATTTTCTAAAAAGAAATGGAGGAAGTTTTCACACAGCTCAGTTGAGGCTTCCAGAGGTGAAGGCTCACTGAGGTGTAGAACTGAGTTCAGGGTGGAGAAAAGAACTCGGGGGTTGTGGGAGTTGGAGACAATTAAATCAGAGAAGAATTTACATTTGGCAGCTTTAACGGCTTTCTGATAGTGACGCCAACTCTCCCTTAACATTTGAAAAGACACCTGGAGCCTGTCCTTCCTCCACCTTCGTTCAGCTCTGCGACACTGCTGCCTAACGGCTCGCGTGACGTCATTCAGCCAAGGCTCTGATTTAAGTTTTGTTTTTCTGGTTTTAAGGGGAGCAACACGGTCCAGATCATCTAAACAGGCAGAGTTGAACTGAGAGGTTAGCTCCTCAGTGGTAAGAGACACCGAGAGCTGTTCGATCCTCTCAGAGTTAAAACCTTCATTAAAACGAGCAGCAGTGAAACGGTTAATGGAACGCGTACATGCAGGAACGCACGTCTTAGCAGTATGACAAGGGGGGGTGAAGTCAAACAATACAGGCATGTGATCTGAAAAAACATTGTCACCGATTTTCAAATTAGAAACAGAGACATCGCGTGTTAAAACGAGGTCCAGCGTGTGACCATGTTCTTGGGTGGGACCGTTTACCTGCTGAGTTAAATTAAAAGAGTCCAATAAATCTAGAAAGTCCTTCACTAAGGGCTTCTCCTGACAACACACATGCAAATTAAAGTCACCAATAAGCAAAAAGTAAGTGTATCTTTGTGTGACATCAGCCAAAAAGTCAGAGAATTCATTTATGAAGTCCTTAGAACGAGGTGGGCGGTAGACGAGCGCGCACAGAACCGTAGGAGAGAGTCCGAGTTCAAAGGCGCTCAGCTCAAAGCTGGCGCGGGACACCGGGATGGACAACTGTTTACAGGCCAAGTTTGCTTTAAAAACTGTTAATAATCCCCGCGCTGACCTGAAGGCCACGGGGCATTGAAACACAGACAGTCCGGGGGTAATAATTCCGCCAAGGCACTGGACTCACCATCAGAAATCCAAGATTCTGTGACGAACAGAAAATCCAACTCCTCATCATTAAAAAAGTCATTGAGGATAAACGTCTTGTTGGAAACAGACCTTGCGTTGATTAAACACATCCTGATATTGTCCAACACAGGCACAGCCGTGGATGGAGACGCGCGCGCCAGCGGGCGCAGGTTATGAAGAACAGCTCCTCCTGGTCTGCTGGTGCGACGCACAGGTAAACAACTCCAGGTGTTTCCATGGACTGAGCGCGCGGGCAGCTGGCCAGCAGCCGGGCCCCGGGAGCACCACGGGTCAGAGAGGAGGTGATCAGATCCAGAGCAAGTCCTGATAGAATAATCCACACTTTGCCTCAGTTTCACCAAAATCCCTGCACGCTTCCCACGACGTCTGCGACGTTTCCTCCATGGAGAAAGGCCAGGGTCACGCAGAAGGAACGCAGGAATCTCAGATAGGACCGGTGGGGGAGAGTGCTGACCGCTGTTCAAAAACTCCACGGGAATTTCAGCAAATGTACGGAGCTCCAAAAGTGCCCGACGATCATACTGAAAATATGACTCGGCACACTGCACAAACCATTGTAAAAATAACAAAAATAAAATACAAGCAGAGAGCGAGAGACGGGCAGCCCTACACACCGGCGCCATCTTGGTTAGAGCAGTCGTCCTCCAATGCAAGAGTTGCGGGTTCGAACCCCACAGCAGTCACATGCCGAAGTGTCCCTGGGCAAGACACTGAACCCCTCATTGCCTCCGATGTGTGTCCCATCGGTGTATGAATGTGATAAATCACTGATTAGTCTCTTTAGAATTATTTGTTCAATTAGCTTTGTAGAGATCTAGTAGAGTGTTCTATGAATGGGTAAATGAGGACACAGATTGTAGTGTAAAGCGCTTTGAGTATCTCAATAAGATAGAAAGGCAGTATATAAGTACAGTCCATTTACCATTTACCATTTACTTGAGTGAAATGTTAAATAGCAAAACTAATGTGTCTAGAAGTGCTCACTGATCATGCACAAAAAATCTGGTCCAGATCGGATGATGTATCAGGGAGCTATAGCTGATTGAGTAATGTAGGGGGCACACTGGAGTCAACTAACAAAGTCCATGCTCAATACTCCAGGTATACAATCCAACATATTTCAGTCAGGTCATCTGGACAATTTCTTTTTTTGTGCTGAAACATTTTGCCTTTGATCAAGAAGGCTTCATCAGTCAAGGAAACAAACCAGTTTCACTTTAGAGTAAGCTGTTGGGGGAAGAATCAGTTTTGTTGTGCGTTTCCTTCACTGATGAAGCCTTCCGGATCGAAGGCGAAACATTTCAGAGCAAAAAAAGAAACTGTCCAGATGATCCGACTGAAAAATGTTGGACTGGAGTCAACTCTTGATTTAATCCTATTTGCTTCTTTAGAGGTTAACAATGGTAATTTATATCCACTTTGGAGCAAATCGGATAATGCATGTTTGATTTATAACCAACCGTATGCAAACGGAGGGGGATTCAATGGGCGTGGC